AAACCCAAAAAAAAAAAAAAAAAAAAAAAGCTTTTTAAAAAAATTGAAATGTATAGAAGAAAGATAACAAGGAAACACAGCATCATAGGCACAGTGAGGAAGGCTTTGTACTCTCACCTGGTGTGGACTCCAGCTCAGCCCTTCCACTGTCCCTTTCCTGTAACTCAGCGTGAGCTCACTCAGGGGACAGACAGGGCAGAGCCTGGCCCAAGTCTCAGGAAATATCAGCTATTTAAAAGTGGGTGCTGGGGACTTCCCTGGTGGTGCAGTGGTTAAGAATCAGCCTGCCAGTGCAGGGGACATGGTCCAGGAAGATCCCACATGCTGCGGAGCAAATAAGCCCGTGTGCCACAACTACTGAGCCTGCCCTCTAGAGCCCGCGAACCATAACTGCTGAGCCCGAGTGCCAGGACTACTGAAGCCCACGCGCCTAGAGCCCGTGCTCCACAGCAAAGGGAAGCCACCGCAATGAGAGGCCCACGCACTGCAACGAAGAGTAACCCCCACTCGCCGCAAGTAGAGTGAGCCCATGCGCAGCAGCAAAGACCCAGTGGAGCCATAAATAAATAAATGAATGAATGGATGGATGGGGTGCTAACAGACTTCCCTGGTGATCCTGTGGCTAAGACTCCCAATTCAGGGGGCCCGGCTTCGATCCCTGGTCAGGGGACTAGATTCCACATGAACTTAAAAGAGATCCCACATGCCGCAACTAATAAAAGATCCTGCATGACGCAGCTAAAGATCCCGCACGTCACAACGAAGATCCCACGGGCCACACCCACATGCCACAATTAAGGCCTGGTGCAGCCAAATAAATAAATATTTTAAAAAATAAAAAATGTAAATGAAAGTGGGGTGCTGGGATAACAGGTGGTTCAGTCTTCCAGTGCAGAGCACATGCCCACGGCCAGCTGTCCGGACTAAAGTTAGCCTTTAGTGAAGGTGAAGCCTGCATGCCGTTCTTTGGCAGTTCACTTTCCTTCCTCACCTATCCTACAGTCCTCTGCTTGTCTGCCTATTTGTATTTATCTCTAAGCAATATCTAAATTGTTCATTTCTAAACCTCATATAAGGGGTACCATCTTGAATGTATTCTTTTTTTTTTTTTTTAATTTTTTTTTCATTAATTTATTTTTGGTTGTGTTGGGTCTTCGTTTCTGTGCGAGGGCTTTCTCTAGTTGCGGCGAGCGGGGGCCACTCTTCATCACGGTGCGCGGGCCTCTCACTGTTGTGGCCTCTCTTGTTGCGGAGCACAGGCTCCAGACGCGCAGGCTCAGTAGTTGTGGCTCACGGGCTTAGTTGCTCCACGGCATGTGGGATCTTCCCAGACCAGGGCTCGAACCTGTGTCCTCTGCATTGGCAGGCAGATCCTCAACCACTGTGCCACCAGGGAAGCCCTGAATGTATTCTTTTACAGCTTACTGTTTACATTCAGCCTTACGTTTTGTGGTTTCTCCATTGATATGTGTATTTCCCAGTTCACAGCCAGAGGTGCACCGTCTCCCCAGTGGCTTTGTGCATGTGTGTGGGGTTCTGAGTTGAAACAATGGCAAAGAGCCACTGGTGGCTTTGAGTGCACTGGGACCAGTAACGCCAACATCCTGTGGTGTGCATGGCAGCCCTGCACACCTGAACGATGCCTGCCCAAGTGCCTTGGACCCCGGTGTGGGAACCCTGCGTCTGGCTTCTGGTGCTCTCCTCTGAGTGGGGTTTTCTTACAGGAGGAGCCTCTTGACGGACACTTGTTTCTGAGTGGTCCTCAGTCTGGTGCTGGGGTGTTCAGCATTCTTGCCCCATCTCCTTGTGTGTATGAGGACCCCCACAGGGGCCTGAGAGAGGGTGGCTCACTCCACCCTTTGCCACCACTGTCCTGGCCCACCTCCTCACTTGACTGCTAGAGCCATGTGATGGGCCTCTGGCATGGTTTAGTATGCATGCTGGGGACCCTGCTGAGGTGAGGGAGCTTTTCTCATTTTCTTATTCTTTTCGTTTCTACCATTTGGACTTTTTCCTTATGTGGTTTTAATGTTCTTTTTATGCTGCTGTACATGCATCCATTTGCTTCCTCCCAATTTTCCAAATGCTTTCCCATCATATTATATTACTTTTTTTCCTTCCCCCTGCCACATGGCTTGTGGGATTTTAGTTCCCTGACCACAGATCAAACCTGGGCCCTCAGCAGTGAGAGTGCAGTGTCTTAACCACTGGACTGCCAGGGAGTTCCCCCATCATATTAGATTACTTTTATAGGAAGGAAAACCAAGCATTATCATAGGAATGCTCAAAAATGTTAAGAATCCTGAATTTTAGTAAATTTAGTAAAAATTTTGATAACTTCAGTACTTTGGTTTTTTTTTAACTTAAACACAGGATGATTCAAAGCCACCTTATTCCTATGCACAATTAATCGTACAAGCAATTACGATGGCTCCTGATAAACAACTCACCCTAAATGGAATTTATACGCACATCACGAAAAACTATCCCTACTACAGGACTGCGGACAAGGGCTGGCAGGTAAATCCATTTCAGTTGTTATTAAATGTTTCTGTTAGATGCTGGTTGGCAAATGAGAAGAGAATTGAGCTGTTATGTATGTAGCTGGGGCACAGGTAGAATGAGATGAGTGAGGGCCTCTTGTCCCGAAAAAGGAAGAGGCCTGCTGTTGCCACGCTCTCTCTGACCTCCTTAGCACAGAGTGGGAGGAATAGTGGTTCTAGAAGAAATCTCAGCACTGTTTCTTACTGTTATGGTCTCCATGGATGGGAAAGGTGTGGATCGTTTGAGATGTTTCTCTTGGACCAGTGCAGTTCATGTGTCTAAAGTGAGGGAGAGTTAAGAATCCTGTCCATCCATTTACTTTGGCATTCTTCTGTCTGCCTTAGCTATACGTCTGCTGACACATGTAGCTTTTTGAAGTTTGCACAGAGATGGTTTTCAAACTGTTTTACTGAGGAACCCTTTCTTCAAAAGATACCTCCTCCAGTTGGCCAGTATACAAAACAGATAAACACAGCGCTGCCCTGTTTCAGTTGTCTCCCTGTGCTTCCAGCCTATTCCTAGGCTGTCTGTGAATCCAGGCCTCCTCAGAGGACGCTGAAATTGGTGCATAGTGTTTCCGTTGTTTGGCTTTTTAACTTAGTTTAAGTTTTAAACCTCTACAGTGTGTATGTTCTCCCTTGTTCTGTGTGTCTGTGTTACGTGTGGCCATTTACTAGGTGTTTAGCAGGACCTCACTAATTTAGACAGTATGGGAAAGGGTAAGTTTGAAGTATGGAATAGTAAAAGCATCACAAAAGAGAGAAGAAACATGCATTTACTTATTTTGAATTTATTAAGTAACCAGGAATGGCTACAGAATTCCTTTGAGGCTTAATGAGTAAATGATCCTTTGAAAAATGCATCTGTTGAACCATAACCATAATCAAGTGATGTGGGCGGGGTAGGGGGGTAAGCCATTCTGTTAACGGAGGGTAAAAACTTTTTTCTTCTACCTGCAGATGTATAAACATGTTGTAATAAAAAAGTGTTCCAGCCAAATCCTGACTATTTCCTCTGTAAGGGGTCTTTAGTCGTGTAAAGACTAAAGGTACAAAATGAGACCTAGCCTATCCTCCTGGCTTGGAGCATCTGTGCCCTGCCCGCCTTCCTGTTCACAGCAAGGTGGCATTTTTTAGTTGGCCATGAGGGAAACAGTGGCTCGGGAGAACACTTCCGTATCCAGCTACCTGGCAGTTCTCTTAAGATGATGTACAATTAGGTCCCAGCAGTACTTACCGTATTTTAATCTGTAACAGTGAGCTTGTGCTTCAAAGAAAATGAAAAACAAAAGAAACGGAAGCAGACGACAGTCTATATCCATGTCCATGTCACACAGCTCCCTGGGCACAGGCAGGTGAGATCTGTCACCCAGTCCTGTCCAGGAGCTGTGTGTGGAATTCTGATGATCTGAAATGCCAGTGAGCTGGGTTGTAATGGGAGTGAGTGTCTCTGAAAAGCCCGGCCAGACTTTCAGTGGTGTGTTTCCCTTCTGGGCATATTTCCCTGTGCTTTGTAGCATCCATTTACAGGAGAACTGATTCCATGCATCACAGGGTTTTCTTGCTAAAGAAGGCTGAAGGGCGACATCCTCCTGGCCTCGGGGTCCTGGGGAGTGAGTCAGTCAGGAGGGGCCGTGATCACAGAGAGGTGAGGCCTGCGGAGGTGACCCCTGAGTACTCTGATTGCTGCTGGCTCCTGAAGTGACTTCACAGCCCACTTAGAACTGAGAGTTATAAACACCCTCTTTACTGAACTGTCATTAACGCTTGTTTTTATTGAAACATCTTCTTTTCTGTCCAGATAAAGGTTCGTAAGGGTGACTGCGCCTCTTGCCTGTGTAAGGCTGTTCCTGGGACATTTCACACCTGCTCCAGCTATTTTAGCGAGAAAGGGCTTTCTTGCTCCAGCCCTCCTTTAATTCATGGATATGCACTCAAATTCCTGTCCTCAGCAGTCCTTGCTCTCCCCAGCATGCCCGCGTGTGTCCTTTTCTGTCATGGGACTCTGAGCTGCCCATCCTCAGGGACTGCACTTACAGATTCTACATGGAAGGCTCATTCCCATTCCCTCTCTCCTGGCTGAAAACAAAAAGCCTTCTATTTTGCAACCTTGTCTCATAAAAGACCCATATCCTTTTGAGAAAAAAACCACAAATAACTGTCAACCAAAACAGCCCATTTTTCAAGTGTGGATTTGCAGACTGCATCCTGCCCTCCCCAGTGGGGCAGGGGAGATGGCAGTGCCATGCTTCTCGGAGCTCAGGTCCCGGTGATTGAGCCCCTTGCTCTGCCTCAGTTCCTAAGATGACGCCTGTGGACACTTCCCACCATGCCAGTTCTGAGCACTTAATGGAAATCCATGGCTCCTTTCAGACTTAACTTTTGGTATTTTGCAGTCTACCCATGCCAAAAGCTTTTTGATTAATCTGGAGCAAATTTGAGTATAAAGCAAGATGGTCTGAGTAACACTAGCTGGAAAGATGGCATCTCTTTTGGTTGCATACTTATGCCAAAATGTTTTACTTTGTTATGACTTATAATTTTACCCCGCTCAGAATTGAGGTATTTGTTGTGACTGAAAAGTTTGAGAATTCTGGAGCTCTTGGCCTCTGAAAGGACCAGAGCTGGTTTCTGAAAGTAGAGGGAGTGACTTGTGCTCACCCGCACCCTGCACACTGGACTCTCCTCTGGAAGGTCCTTCCCTTAAATTTCTTTACAAGTCCTTACTATGCTGAATACACACTGGCAAATGCTCAGTGCTGAGTGGGACTAACAGACACAAACTGCCCATGAGAAGTGTAGGTTATGGGCAGGAAGGCTGGAGGCGCTCAGGGAGGACAGCACAGAGCAGGCACGAGTGATCAGCTCTGCGCCTTTCCCCTTTGTCAGCTGGGTTCTGGGAAGCAGCCCCTACTGGGGAGAATTTGGGGGAAAGAGAATGTGCACAGTATTGCAGATCCTTTTCTTCGTATTTAGTTTTAAATAATAACCTGCCTTCTCTCTGAATACTTTAAAATAATTTGAGTCACTGGAATTGAATCAGTGTGGTTTAAATGTATATAGCTTGGTTTGATCAAATTACAAAGGCCTTAAGTTACCTTAGAAATGCAATTATTTTATTCCATCTGTGTATACATTAAATATCTCTTATTACCTCTTCATGTTTTCTAGAGTCTTGTTGGCTGGAGAATCACAGGTGACCAGTAATTGGGCTCATTTGTCTGTGAGATTGTTGTCAGAGCGCAGAGGAAGTTAGACTCTCTTTTGATGGTGCAGACTGGGTTCTGTTACATTTTCAGAACAGAAAATAGCAACTCCCTGACCTAAGGACTTAACTGTACAGTTTGTCCGTGGTGTGAGGGTTAACGGAGCAGCTGTATTGCTGATCCTGGTCCTGACCTTTGTCGGTGGGTAGAAACCCTCACGCCCTGTCCCCTGGAGTAGCACTTCCTGCCTCCAGATTCCCACTGTGCTGACCTCCCTTTCTCCTCCGAACAGCATGCATGCGGACCTGCTTCACATCAGTCAGTGCAGTGCCAGCCTTCACTTGAGGCTCGGCACCTCCCTTGTCACGTGTCACCTAGCACTGTGGCGTAGTGGTCACTTCTGAGCTCCCATCTGGGTGCTGGCCTCCCACGGCGCAGTCGGGAACTCTGGACCCTCACCCACAGTTCACAGTGAGAGTGTCCTCCAGTGTCATGATCTGGGCTGGCTTTTCTCAGTCTTTTTTCCTTAGAATCTGCCTTCTACTCCACACTCGAAAGGTCTGAATGCAGATGGGGAAGGATTGCCGTCTCTGTCTTGATGGGGGCACCAACAGCAGATTCGATTTCCTGGAGGGATTGGTAGGTGTTGGTTGGTTATCAGCCAAACGCTATGATAAAACGTCATAGCAAGTATCTGTGGTTATGCATATATCCTAAGTCTAACAAGTACTACATCTACTTATAAACAACCTCACAAATCACAGACGTAGCTTAGCCTGTCGCTTCATGTTGCCGACGAGGTGACTGACATCCACGGGCATTGGTGGTTCGTCATGGCCTGTGACTGGTCTGGTTCTTGAATAGCCCCTTAGGTTGGTTGTAAAGTAGTATTTGACATGTTTTGATTTCTGAGCCACCTCTGGGAATTCAGAATTTCAGGTCGTGACTAGCAGTTCTATTAGAAAGTTAGTTGGAGAACTTAGAAATGATTTTTGGATAGCCAGAATTTTAGTTTGGGTTGAAACTTTAATAGTTTAATTTATTAATTTTAAATTTAAGCATTAACGTAAATGCCGAAAGGATCCGAATGCAGGACTTCCATCCAGCTTTTCCTGACCTTTCGTAGGTCTCAGATTTCGGTGCATCAGGGAGCTGTCCTCAGATCACGTGTAAACTGTGAGCTGAGCTTTTTGTAATAGAAGAATGGACTTAGGAATTGAGAAAAATTTTCTCAGTGTGCCTCACAATATTATTTTGAGAATCAAAGTATATAGAAATTCTTTTACGGGAAGATGGTGTCAATAATATTTCTCAAACTTTGGCTCATTTTTTCTCCTTTGCTGGTTTGCCAGTTACCTTATGCTGGATTAATTCATTTTAAAGACTGTGACAGTTTCTATAAGCTAATTTTGTGCTCAAAAAAGTATTTTAAAGGAATAGTGGATCTCAGCGCTGTCCTTCCCCAAACAGGGAGAGGTCACAGTGATAGCCCTTGATTTCCTACCTGGTAAAAAGGTGGAAGTTGACATGTTTCCTGTTGGAAATAGCCTCTTTCTGTGTGGTGTAGATTTCTCACCCCTTCCCCATTCCCCAGTTCCCTTCCTTGCCTCCTGGTGCCCATCCTGCCATGCTGTTCACAGTGCCCCGTGTCCTTGTGTCTTTTCCTCTGTAGAAGCCACGTCGCAGCCTCTGAGTAGTCACACCCCGCAGCTCCTCCTTCACTTTGGGGAGGGCCGGTTCCTTCCAGCACAGAGCTGCAGGACCTTTGCAGGGCACTAAAACTGGGGCACATTTTTATTTCTCAGCAAAGAAATATATGAATTCTACGTATTTTTTTATGTTTCATAGAATTCAATTCGCCACAATCTCTCTCTGAATCGTTATTTCATCAAAGTACCACGTTCCCAGGAAGAACCAGGCAAAGGCTCATTCTGGAGGATAGATCCTGCCTCTGAAAGCAAATTAATAGAGCAGGCTTTTAGGAAAAGACGGCCTAGGGGCGTGCCTTGCTTTAGAACCCCTCTGGGACCGCTCTCGTCTAGGTAAGGAAAAAAGACAAACAAAAAGACCTCATTTAATGGTCAGTAAATTTACCTTTGATGTATTGGTAAATTTTCCTTTTGAAAATGAAGGAATTACCAAATGCATTATGATTAAATGTTGGGTTGGGGATTTGGAAAAAAAAAAAAGTGTTGGATGCCACCCATGTATTTTTGTTTCTAGTGGTCTGAAACAATTCAGATTATAAAGTTTTACTTAAATTTCATTCCTATGTAACACTGTTGCTTCGTTGAATGCATATTGTCAATATGATGAGTCGGCAATATCACGATGCCACGTTGATGAATAATGTTTTTTCCTTTTTCTTGGATGTGAAAAGCTCTTTAAAGCTACATCTTAGCTGCTTAAACTCAAGATTGGTTTATACAGTGTTAATTGCCTGATTTTAAAATCCATATTTTTAGCTCCATTAGTAGATTTCTGCTTTTAAACAAAAAAAAGAAATGACTGTAACGTTAAGTCTTGAGCCCCAGCCAGCTCGCACGCTGCTGGCTCCTGCTGCCTGGCTGTGGATGGGAGCTGCTTAGGGAAGCAACCAGTCCCGCCCCATGCTGTGCGGCCTGTGCTGGGTGTGGAGCAGCGGTGCCCTGCATATAGTGGCTCTGTCACAGCCATGCCAGCCTCGCTGAGTGTCCATCTCAGGTCACAGGCATCACACCTGAAGTAAGACTTAAGGAACTGTAGTTGGTTGGCAGAAGACAAATGACACCTTTGTTTTTGCAAAATACGCCTATTAAAACAAGGCAGCTTTATGAGTGCTTTACCTGTAAAAATCCACTGTCTTCTTTTTGGTCATACAGAAGTGCCCCAGCCTCTCCCAATCATGCTGGAGTGCTGTCTGCTCACTCCAGTGGCGCCCAGACCCCTGAGAGCCTGTCGAGGGAAGGTTCACCAGCCCCTCTGGAGCCCGAGCCTGGTGCCTCACAGCCCAAACTCGCTGTCATCCAGGAGGCACGGTTTGCCCAGAGTGCACCAGGTGAGATGTGCAGAGGGCAAGTGTGGTGGGAGAGGGGTGGGTCAGATGAGCATGTGAGCCAGTCTCATCAGAGAAGAAATAGCAAGAGGCCTTGGATCCTTTGCACCTTGTGCCTGATACTTTCTGCATAGTACCTGAATGTTATTTTATAGGCTCTGAAAAATTAATTGCACTGTGTTAAAAAAAAAAAAATCAGTCAACTTTTATGACTCTGTGTGTAGGTGCCTGAAAAATTTTAGAATTAACCCGTTTCTTAGTTGCTTCATCATTCAAAAATCTATGAGAAAGATTCCCCTCGTAAAGAAATAACATAAATTAGACGAAGTAGACATTAGCAGCAAAAAAAAATGTCTATTTAATGAATAGGTGAGCATTTCTCAGTGTACTTATAAAGTCACAATGTAGAATAAAAATATGTGCCCTGGGGAATTAAAAAAAAAAAGAAGTGTGAAAATGTGTCCAAAGTAATTCTGTTATGGTTCCTAGTTGGTTGGCAAAATGTGCATTTTGGTATATTGGAATTCCTGGCCATGCTGGCAACACCCCCTGCTAGCCCCCATTCCTGTTGCTGGAGCCCAAACGCCCAAATCGGAAAGAACAGAGACTGGCAGAGCTGCTGGCTGCCAGCTCTGTCTCCACACTTCCTGCTCCTCTGCACCCATCATAAGATGGAGACTTTGATCTTGGGGAACATGGCCCCCTCCTTCAGGCTTCATTGGGCAGCTTCTTCCCATATCTTGTGTTGAGGTTTTCTTTTTCATGATGAGAGAACTGTGGGAAGAAGTGTTGTAAGAAATCTGAACAGGCACTTCCCTGGTGGTCCATTGGTTAAGACTCCGTGCTTCCACTGCAGGGGGCCTGGGTTCGATCCCTGGTCAGGGAGTACTGCGTAGCACATGGTGCGGCCAAAAAAAAAGAAAAGAAATCTGAACAAAGCAGAGATTGCCTTTTTAGCAGTTAGATATACATTAAATATCCCCATTAAATATGTCATTTCTTTCATCATGAATGACTTTATTATTACCAGGCGAAAGGGGCCATGTCGTGTTTTCTTAAATCAGTCTGCATGTTGCTAGTGAGGGGTCGTAGTTAGTTGGTTTGGGATGTATGAGCCTCACCCCCACTCCCGTCCTCGGTAGGCTCACCTCTGTCTAGTCAGCCCGTCTTAATCGCCGTGCAGCGACCACTGCCACCGACGATCAAGCCTGTTACCTACACTGTCGCCGCCCCTGTGACCACCTCGACCTCCCAGCAGCCCGTCGTGCAGACGGTTCACGTCGTCCACCAGATCCCAGCGGTGTCTGTCACCAGCGTGGCTGGACTGGCCCCAGCAAACACGTACACCGTCGCAGGACAGGCCGTGGTCACTCAGGCGGCCGTGCTGGCCCCCCCTAAGGCAGAGCCACAAGAGAATGGAGACCACAGAGAAGTAAAAGGTGAGCAGCGGAAGTAGTCACTTCGGGCAGCTTTTCAAGCTCTTAGAAACCCGCCAGCCTCATTCATCCTGACCCCCTTGCTAACATGTTATGTAATGTTGTGCTGGAGCAGGGCTGCTCGCCGCCTGGTTTGTTGTACTTCAAACCAGTGAGATTTCTGTAAGCTACCCAGTAATATTAGTTGGTGTCATTTTTTCTCTTTTCCTTTTCTTTGAATTTAGTGAAAGTAGAACCTATTCCTGCGATTAGCCATGCCACACTAGGTGCCGCTGGCCGGATCATTCAGACGTCACAGACCACCCCTGTCCAGACGGTCACCATAGTGCAGCAGGCACCTCTAGGTCAGCACCAGCTTCCAATAAAAACTGTAACACAAAACGGGACTCACGTGGTGCCAATCCCCGCCGCCGTCCACGGCCAGGTGAATAATGGTAAGCAGTGTCCTCCGTGGGTTACTGGGTGCTAACAACTTGAGCAGAGGTCCTCTGCTGTCCTTTTATGAAGCGTGGTGTTCAAGGTTTTCATTCTGACTGTTACAATTTTAATTTTTTTGTCTGAAGAAATGTTTGCATTTCTAAACTATAGGAAACTGAATAGTGCTATAGGATACCGGGGAATTGGCTGTGGGAATTGGCTCCCATGTGATTCCCATTGGAGGAGACATCTGAAGAGAGAAGCATTTCTAAATATAGTAAGTCCCCTACATATGAACAAGTTCCATTCCAAGAGCGCGTTCTTAAGTCCATTTTGCTCATAAGTCCAACAAAGTTAGCCTAGGTACCCAACTAACACAATTGGCTGTATAGTACTGTACTGTTAATAGGTTTATAATAACTTTTCATACATATAATTACATAAAAAACAAGCAAACACAAAAAATAAAACATTTTTAATCTTACAGCACAGTACCTTGAAAAGTACAGTAGTACAGTACAACAGCTGGCATACAGGGGCTGGCATGGAGTGAACAGGCAAGAAACGTTACTGACTGGAGAAGGGAGAGGAGGTGGGAGATGGTAGAGCCTAAGGATCAACAGCAATAGGAGACGGAGGGCAAGCTGCAGTTTCACCCATGCCTGACGTAGATGGAGTGCACATTTGCATCTTGAAAGTTTGCAACTTGAAGGTTTGTATGTAGGGGACTGACTTATCTAGAGAGATGAAAATACTCCCACCTTTTGTAGACATCTGGGTGTGGCCTAGAAGCAACCTGGGGGCTGTCCCAGCTGATCTGTCCAATGGCGGTGCCCTCCCCTGGGGCAGGGGTATGCTTGAGAGTGTCTGATGGTGGAAGGGGAGAATGCTGGTCTCCTGTTCTCTTTGCTCTGAAAGCCCTCTGGAGCCCCATGCACATAGCTCCCATGGATGTTCTGACATGGACGAGCCTAAGGGAGCTTGGCTTTTAAACCAGAGGACAGAGAACCTTCTTCCACCCAGTCCTGTGGAGCAGTGTGAAGGGTAGGAGCCCAGCTGGCTGTTAAGTCCCCTCAGGAGTTTGGGCTCCTTGGAACGGGTGTTCAGACGTCTTTGCAGTGAGTCTTCACCCAGGCATGTGGAGTGTGCTTGCTGTCCACACACGTGGGCTGTCGTGATTCAACTACAGGACTCCAAGCAGTAGAATCAGAAGCTACTGGCTCAAAGTAGCTCTCTGTGCCCAGAGAAAGTTTCTTGGAAAGAGGGTGGGGAACAGAAGGCTTAAATTGTGTTGACCTCTGAATCCTTCCTTACTGAGCTATTAAGGGACAGAGACCTGGGACAGACACCTCACGTGATTCCGCTTCCCCCTTGCTCCTCCCCAAATTTAATGGACGAACAATATCTGCAACCTTTTCTAGGGAAGACTAACCACTGAGAGTTTTTTGTTTTTAAGTAATAGGTAACATGCCACTTGTGGATAAATTGAGAAGTTTGCAACCAGTTGCCCATTTAAAATGCTTTCTTCCTCAAGCCCGGTGTCTCCTAAGTAACTGAGAGTTTTTCAGGCCTCATTCTTCTTTTCTTCATGAATAACTTGGTTGTCACAGGTGGTCCAGATGTGGCAAACCTGGTGGCCCTGTGTGTGGCTGGGAGCAGGTGGTGTCGAGAGGTGGACAGTCTATTTCTGGTCAGAGCCGTTCTTCCCTGTCTTAAGCCATGGTGTAGGCTGTTGATTCCCAGATACCATGTGCCTTAGAATCACTCAAGGGCTCCCTCCCACAGTCCCCAACTGAGCAGGTCTGGCCTGGGACCCAAGAATGTAACATTTCTTACATGTTCCAGACCTTCTGAAAACTGCTGTGCAGGTCAGGGCCCTTTTTGGCCACCTGTCTACGGAGTTTGAGAAACTGTGTATCCCTTTCACGTATTTAAATTGGTGTCTAAAATTTTTCTTTATAAATTTAATAAGGAATTAAGTTTTCCACTATTGAAAATACTGATGTTTTATTTTTAAATAATTTTTTTAATTTTTATTTTTGGCTGCGCTGCACAGCTTGCAGGATCTTAGTTCCCCAACCAGGATTGAACCTGAGTCCTCAGCAGTGAAAGTGCGGAGTCCTAACCACTGGACCACCAGGGAATTCCCAATACTGATGTTTTAAAATAAAACTTACATTATTCTTTTAAACGTGCTCCTGGCTCTGAATACTGCTCTGATTTGATGCCCCTTCTCACCCACATATCAGCACACAGACAAGCAGGCTCGCCAATCCTCGTGGCTCAATCCCATGTCCCCCACAGATTTTGTGCTAGGGCCACATACTTTATGCTTAAATGTCATTTACTGAGTATGTATTTTCTTTGCAATAATAAAATGGAGAAATATTAAAGATTGAATTGTCTGTGACTATAAGGATTCACTTATCAATTGTTATAACTATAGAATTGATCAAAATCAAATTTATAATTCCTTAAAAATTGTATTTGGGAATTCCCTGGCGGTCCAGTTGTTAGGACTCTGCACGCTTTCACTACCATGGACCCGGGTTCAATCCCTGGTCAGGGAACTAAGATTCTGCAAGCCACGTGGCATAGATAGATAGATAGATAGTATTAAAGATGCGTTTCTCAATATATCTGGGCTTTAAAGAAAACCACACAATTATTGTATTATATTGACAATCACTGCTGGGAACAGTAGGCAAAGTGCTGGGTCAGCCCTGAGAAACCTTGTTCCCACTCAGAAGAAGGAAGGGTAGAAGAAATGCTAAAACTCCTTCCAGTTTTAGTCATCTTTTAGTGGGAATTATCTGTTAGTGGGAAATTTTATTGGTTCTCCTTGAATTTAGTCTCAAACTTTTACTTAGAAATCACTTGGTCTAGAAGAGGATTTGATGTCTAGTCAGTAGTAAGTCAGGTCCACAGTGCCAGTGTTTCCACTCTTCCTTTGTTTCATGCTCCATCTTGACATTTGCATCCCCAAAAGCAGCCCAGTTGAGTGGGTGAGAGAGAGGCTGTTGAGAAAGGGGAGGAGGGAGGAGGTGGCAGATCAGCTTTTAGAAAGATTCCATGGGCAAGTGGAGACTCTGATGGTGGTTTTTTTTTTGAAAACTGCTGTTGGGTGTGATGTGGATGCTGTATGACCCAGCTGTGACCTCCCTTACCCTTGAAAGTCACTCTCAAGAAAGGGAAGCAGTGCCTAGTACTAATGGATTTTGAAAATCAGAAGCTTTGGTATTTAAAATTTTTATTATGGAAAATGACAAACTTTCTGAAAATTAATTCACAGCCAGCCTTGTTCCATATTCCTCACCCATCCCATCTGCTCCCACCCAGATCCAGACATGTCATTCCCTGTTTTGGCATGCGTCTCTAAAGATAAGGACTCTCTTTTAGTATGTAAGCACAATACCATTGTTATAGTTTTAAAAATAAACAGTAATTCTTTTAGTTAGTTTTTGGCTGTGTTGGGTCTTCGTTGCTGTGCACGGGCTTTCTCTAGTTGTGGGAGCGGGGGCTACTCTTTGTTGCAGAGCACAGGCTCTAGGCACACGGGCTGCAGTAGTTGTGGCACGCGGGCTTAGCAGTTGTGGCTCGCGGGCTCTAGAGTGCAGTTTCAGTAGTTGTGGCGCACGGGCTTAGTTGCTCCGCGACATGTGGGATCTTCCCGGACCTGGGCTCAAACCCATGTCCCCTGCATTGGCAGGCGGATTCTTAACCACTGCGCCACCAGGGAAGTCCCAACAATAATTCTTTTATACCCAGTGTCTCCTCAGGGTTCAAATCATCTGTATTTTTTTTTAATTGTGGTATTCAATAAAATATACATAATATAAAGTTTACCATTTTAAATTATGTGGTTCAGTGGCATTAAGTACATTCACAGTATTTTGAAGCCATCACCTCTAACTAGTTGAAAAGCATTTTCATCACCCCAAAAGGAAATCTCACACTCATTAAGCAGTTACTCCCCATTCCCCACTTACCTCAGTCCCTGGTAACCACTAATGTACTTTACATCTCTGTGGATTTACCTGTACTGGATATTTCCTGTGAATGGAATCGTATGAATTGTGGCTCTTCTTAGCTGGCCTCTTAGCACAATGTTTTGAGGTTCATCCGTGTTGTAGCATGTGTACATCATTCCTTAGCTGAATGTGTTTCCATTTTGTTTATTCATTCATCAGTTGATGGGCATTTTGGTTGTTTCCACCTTCTGGCTATTGGGAATATTGCTGCTGTGACATTCATATACAGGTATTGGTTTGAGTCCTTGTTTTCATTTCTTTTGGGTGTATACCTAGGAGTGAAATTACTGGGTTGTATGGTAATTCTCTGTTAATTTATTGAGTAGCCACCAAACTTTTCCTCAGCAGCCACATCAATTTTCCATTCCATCCTCAATGATGTGCAAAGGTTCTGATTTGTCCACATCCTCACTTGGTATTCTCTCCTTTTTTTTTTGATCATGGCCATCTTACTCTTAATTGTGGTTTTGATTTGCATTTTCCCCATGACTAATGGTGTTGAGCATCTTTTCATGTGCTTGTTGGCTATTTGTATAGCGTCTTTGAAGAAATGTC